AAATTTGAAAGAGTTGTGATTTTTTATCAACAGACATGTTACTTCGGCTGAATTTTGACAATTCCATACCTAATATGGCCAATAAAGAAATGCTGTCAGATAATTTCATACACGTTCGTCTACAGCTTTATAGAATAACATTGTAATCATTGGTTTATATTGTTGATTTTTAATCTGATGGAAAACATATCACACGAAAATACTTTCTGTCTAAGAGCGTTGCGTTATTTATCCCCAGATACATAAATATTTCAAAATACGAAGAAAGGTCAAATATACCTTATGATATTTTAGAAATAATTTTATTTTCTTATGCGGGAGTTGACTTCGAAATGATTTATAATTAAATTATTTAGTGATTTTGTCGTACGCTTAGCTAACAAACGTCACTGTTCATTAAGAGAGACAAGAAGACTCACTTGTAATTACATTTCCGCGTGCAGCTCAAAGAATGAACTCTGGGAATTGCATTTCTGATGTCAAGAATATCTCTCACTCTTTAAGGGCGATGGTTCTGTCTTTGTCTGACCTTTTAACTTCAGTGTGATCCATGTTAGTTTAAAGTCACTGCAAAGCCGTCAGCGTTTCAGGGACATACGTCTATAAGATACGCCAAAGGAAAGTGTACAGCACGATATAATTATGTTTATGTCAACAGATGATACTATACAAGTCCATTGGTTAGACCAGTGGTATTGAACCTTTTTTGTTCGCGTACCCCCAGATATAATTTATCTTTCAACTTTGTACCCCCAAAGTTGTTGGTGTATAATTCAAGTTATACGTAGTATATAATCTACATCTAAAATAAATTAAATAAATTACATTACTGATTATTCAGTGTTTATCATAAAATATTTTTTTTAAAAAAAATCACGTACCCCCTAAGATGTCTTCGCGTGCCCCCAGATATAATTTCTCTTCAACTTTGTACCCCCAAAGTTGTTTTGGTGTATAATTCAAGTTATACATAGTATTTAATCTACATCTAAAATAAATTAAATAAATTACATTACTGATTATTCAGTGTTTGTCATAAAATAATATATATATTTTTAAATTTCACGTACCCCCTAAGATGTCTTCGCTTACCCCAGGTTGAAACCACTGGGTTAGACCATACGTCTGCTTTGCTTTAAAAAGTTTGTCACAAGAATTGTTGAAATGTTTTATTTAAATGTCACAAATATAATAAATGTTTATGTCGATTCAACTAATGTAACATTTTATAACGGATTCTATTCAAACGTGGGTATGTACGTGTGTGTGTGTGTGTGTGATAACATCGCCGTTACAGTAGGCAACTTGTTTTACACTCTGGAGATGCCGGGCGGTATAAGTTCAGGAGTACGTTCGTTGTCTGAAGAATTAGAGCCACGAAGTCTAGGGCTTCATCTCTGTGATCCGGTACTTGACTTTGGTTTAGACTCACACAGGAATAAATTTCAGGCAATCGGAAGATTTTTATGTTCATTTGTTGCACGTAATTTTTATTTTTATTTAATTTCATATATATATATATTTTTCTTCACAAAACACGATTTATTCACGTTATTTAACATTGTTCTATTTGAATGTAAGAGGTGATAATTGTCCCTGTGAATAGCTTAATTAAGTAACATCACACCATGAAGACGTGGGAGTAGAGTGTCGTTTCACTTCGACGCTAGATGGAATTAGTGGTTAGGTTCACGCTTATGTTGCTTCATTCTCAGGGAGAGGGGGGGGACCCCCCCCCCCCCCCCGGACGTATTGGTCAGGTGGATGTGAAGCTCGTTAGAGTGATGTGTTCGGAATTGGCTGACGGTAGACGGCTGTGGGCTTGGGTGACTTCTGTCAGAGTTCTTATCGTGTTTCACGTAGCGAATAATTTTTTGTGATGTTTGCGAGTCATGTACCCACAGACTTTTTTTCCCCTAATATTAGTTACTATGTGAATGTAGAATAAAATTAGCCTGCTGTTATCATATAACGCGAAAAATAATCTCTGACTCAAAGCTTTCACGGTAATTCTTTATTATTTTGATACTGATTTTGGGTGCCAACATATAAGAATAGCAGATCTCCATAAAATGTGAGATGGCAGTCTCTGTCTCGTCTCGAAATATGTGAAAGTAAAAGTGAGTAGGTTGGTTAATGTTCACGATATAAACATTTCACGCTTTTTTCCAGTCCCTATAGGCACGTGCTGTGATAGTACCTTAAATTAGGCCACGACCGCTTCCTTCCACATCCTTTCCAATTCACTGTCATCCTCTCATTAGACTATGTTTTGTCTGTGGAACTGAAAAATGTGTCGTTAATTAAATATAAACGAGGATAAAAGAGTTAAAAATTGGTCTCCGAAGCGAAACCGTTTCATAACAGCCTTCCTATACAGTTATACATAACAATGACGTAATACATTGTCCTGAGTATAATATGAGACTGGCAAAGTATAACCGTTGCTTTTTATAATGCATTGCGACTCGTCTGCTCTACCTATCTTATCGTGACTTTCTTCACTAGCCGGAGAAAAGAACTTCTTCGTGTTATTCCAAACCATTAACTCCCCCCCCCCCAATCTATAGTAAGAGCCCCAGTTGCAAATTACATCCGTATTTCAAGAAGTGTGTGTAGGAGAGAGAGTGTATTGGTCAACTATGTTCTCCACACCGCCCCAAAGAGCGTCTTTCAATTGTTGATTTCTTAGAAGCACGTTTCTCGGTCTTCCTCTGCAGCAAATGGCCCTCGGATAATGAGCGTATTAATCAACAGAACCAACAGTTGTCCTTTACCCAAGCAGATGTAGCTCGGATTCCCTTGTTACTTTTATTTGCTTAAGGGAAACATCATTCACACGTTACATTTTTCATCAAATCCATTATTTAACCGAATTGCATAGTAGTAACAGTACGTGTTAGACGACTACACGGGATCATAAAATTGCCACGAGATTATCTGAGTCATAGTATTTTGCTAAACGGATTTCGAAAGTTCATTGCTATTTAAAATATCATTTCGCTATCAGCACTCAGTTTTATTTAATTATCTGATGGCCAGGTCTTTGGTTATTCTTACGATAGGGGAATATGGGAAGGGCTCGCTGGAAGAGGGGAGGGGAATATGAAAACGAAAAGGTGGAACAGGAAGGTAAAGTTTCTGTGAAAACCTGAAACGTGTAACGGAAAACATTTCCCCCCCGTTTTAATCTCGTCAAAACTTGTTAGTATTTTTATACACTAACCTGTAAACTGCATAGTGTTTGGACTAAAGGAAGCATAAAATACTAGCAATGCAGCCACAAGCCTTATTCCACATGGCTACTTCTATAATTTCACATTGAACAGTACAAGGAAAGACTCGTTTATCTCTCCGTGTGGACTAGTGCTTTGCGGTCTAAACTTCTCTCCCTCGCGTGTTTTTGTGACGGTCAACGAAGCTAGTGTGGCAAGTGAATTACTTTTTACACCATTTACGAACCTGATTGGCTCGCGAAGTCACGTGACATTATATGCGCAGAAGCGTTAAAAAGTCGGGTTTTCGCTGCAGCAAACGTAACACGAGCTGTTGCAGAAAATGCCTATAGAGGGAAATGGCGCAAATGAATACTAAATATGTGGTGTTCGATGACCCAAAAACAATTCTGTGTCAACGGATTAACTCCGAATACGAGCTAAACGCTTCTAATTTATTTTCATTTTCTATAGATAATTATTTTCACGCGTTGAAACAATAAATCACTCAGTTAAACAATAAAAATTAAAGCGAACTTTGTTATGCGTGTAATAATGTGTGTTCTGTTTTTGTACTGGGGATGGTTATTTAAAAATGAAATCTTCGTGTATGTTGTTTCTGTGACATAATGCACCGTGGTTTGGTCGCATGTGGTTGAGGGGAGGGGAGCGGAAAAGGGAACCAATAAAAATTTATAATGTATGGATTTAATCAGCACCAAAATCATATGTGGATTTGTTTTGGTCTGACAACTTGTTGACTTTGGAGCCACAAATTTCCAGTTGTTTCACGTGTATGATTCAGCCATATAGTATAATGAAGACGTATTCGAAACAAGGGAAGGATATAGTGTATTAAACCCCTTCCCACCCCCCGTTAACCTACCCCAGTCCAGTTACCTAGCTCTTCTAATTGCACTTTCAACCTCTGTTGTGTAATGTTCTTTGTTTTAAAATCAGTAATTTAAAATTCAATTCATTTGACGTATTATGTTCACTCTAATTGCTGTTTGGTAAGGTCTACTCTGTGTTTATAACTTCGTTTTATATTTTGATTGTCCCTTTTTTTACACAGCTTCGTGAATATGATTGCATAAAAAGTCAAGGTAACCCAATGTTATTTCAGGTTGTGATATGGAGATTTATCTTCTGACATGTTGAGATGTGTAGTCTGTTAGAGAGATTTATCGACTTTTCAGACGTCCTGGCTGGTTCCATCATCAGACCGCGTCTAGAAATGCCTGAGGCGGCTAGGTCAGCCGTTGGGGACAACAGAGATAGGATTTCCGTGTTCTTCCCCAGTTTTTTGAAACGTCGTTTTATAATTTAGACGATGGACAAACTTCAAAAGAAAAATGTTATGTATTATATAACCATTAGCCACGGTGGTCTAGCGGTTAGAACGCTGGTCTTGTAATCCTGGGGTCTCGGGTTCGATTCCCGGCGGTGCCTGAATTTATAACTTGTGTTGGGCAAGGCCGTGGTCTAGGCAACACGGAGTTTTCCTCCGTGGCATCCCAACAATTACTCCATTCACACACAGAAGAAGGCAATGGCAAACCACTTCTGGATCATCTGCCAAGAACGTATATGAACAGGTCCCAGTCCGAGAAAAGGGTGGAAGGATCCTGTTCATATGGACCTGTCCTCAGACAGAACACTAAATAATAATAATAATTATATAACCATCTTCAGAAATATGCGGATTGGGACCGTGGTATTATTTATGATTGTTTCCTCGACTTCGAGATTTAAAAGTCCTTTTGTTTTGTTTTTTTTACCCAGGAAATGCAGGATGTGTTCAAGGTCTATGGCATCGTAGTGGACCCGCGACATCTTCTTCTTGTTGCAGACTACATGACCTTCAACGGAAAATACGAACCTTTCAGTCGAAAAACAATTGAAGATCACGCATCTCCACTACAGCAGATGTCGTTCGAGTCTTCTGTTAATTTTCTGAAGATAGCGGTAACACGGGGTAAGTATTGAATCAAAATTGTGCTAAATATCTGTCATTTACTCCTCACCCTTTAAAACCCAGTTTCATGGAACAAGACGTATTAAACCGGAAGTTTAATTCTGATATATTTTGTAAGAGAGAACTTAAAAGTAATTTTCTCACAAACATTAAATTATAGAACGGAATGGTTGTTTTCGTATGATATTGTGGCTTTGAAAACGATTCGGGTAAGTTATGGACCATAACTCTGAGTTGCCAATATGTAGATGGTCATTATGGCTTCCATCGCGATCTGGAGGAGGGGAGAATAATTTCCGACCGAAACATTAGGTTGGCTTACATCAGGAAATGTTGAATCATCCTCATCGTGATTAAGTTTAATGTATTGTGTGTCTGTCCTTGTTCATTATCTAATAACGAATATGAACCATGCACTTATATGATTTTAACACATTCAATCGACTTCTCTGATTTGTAATTCGAATGAATTCTTAAGTAGACTAAACTTCACTGAGAATTCTCGAATGTCCACACGCGACAAAGCTGTACTTGGGAAGCTGATTTTTAGTAGCTGTTCAGATCATTAACTTTTAATATAACCCGAGGTTTCAGTTACATGTACTTGGGCCTGCCAGCAGTGTCTGCCTTCCGCCACATGAATCGATCCCCCACTCGCATCCCGTTTTATTTCGATTAATTTTAATATTATCCTCCCATTTACGACATTTATATAACTCGGTCCCTTCCTCGACTAATAGGAAGTCATTATGATAGTATCATTTTTATAACTTGACAACGTAAACCATTCGATCTTGTAGTGTTAATCGATTGTTAATCATCTGACAGTTCTCACCAATCGATCTTTACAAGGGAAATCGATCTGGGCGAAGAAATTTTTGTCAAGTTGGCAGCGTACGACATCGGAAAGGCTTTTTTTTTGGTAGGGCTGGTGGCTTGTGGGTGTTTTGGGACGTCGGAGAACGGGCTTTGGGGAGGATGTATCAGACCATTATGAAGTCCGCACCGTGAAATTGGTTTTCTGTCTGTTTGTGGCGTGCCTTGTATACTGGGCGCGTTATGGCGTTACTCGCACAACTTGGCGTTTGTAGCACATTATAGTCGTATTTCGTAATTTAATTTTGTTTTTGGAACATTGGATCCTGTAACAAATGTGTACTGGAAATATTAAAAATTACTAATTGCTTGGAACAAACTCCATGGAGTATTATTATTATTATTATTATTTTTAATATTTTATTTAACTACGCCATCAACATTTCAGGCTACTGTACAGTGTTGAGAAATTCCTCGCCTTTTATGAAACTCGAAGGTTCATAAGAGTGTCCAGAAAGGTCCCCATATTTGGCCATGTTTCGAGCCAAGCGAATACACTTTATCTAATTATAGAACGATTAAAGAATTTTTTTTAAGAATGTGTAAGGAAGGAGTCGTGACCTGCGTTTAAGATACTGTTCTGGAATTCGCCTGGAAAAACTGAGGAAAGTCACGTACGTCTCAGGATAACCGGTCTGCAGGACGGAATTTGAACCGGGTCCTCCCGAATAGTTGGTGCGCTCGGGTTTTACGTTCCATAATATTACCCATCTCCGTATCTATACCTTGTTATCATCGTTAATATTTCTTCATGTAGTGATTTTCGTCTTACGTAGTCTGTGACCTATTTTTCGTCAATTTATACTAGACTACGACATAGCATTCCGGAAGTTAACCGTCTTATACTTGTCGCCTTGAGAACCTGATATCTCACCTGGTTAGATTTGTCCTTGTACCCTGGATTCTGTGACCCGCTGTCCTATTTTACGTGGTTTTTCTCATTACTCCCTGCAAAGTACTGGGATGAAACGTTAAATACGTTACATTTTTTCCCGATTTATAAATCAAAGAATAAATCCATTCGATGTTACAGACCTTTAACACTTATTGTTGAATGAGTAATCAATCATTATCCTCTGCATTTGGTACAGCGTCGAAAAATAACTCGCTGCTGTTCATTAATGTTATTAATTACGCGCTACATCTTGATGAATTTATTAAATTGTTGGTGTTTTTACTCCGCGTGGATTTTGCTTGTCTGAATGGTGACTAGACTGAGAATTTTCGTTTGTCGGTGTCTGACGCCAACATTCTAGTAAGAAAATCTGTTGAACTGGCAACGAGAGATAAGAATAGGTTCGCCAGCCAAGTCATCCGTAGACTTTCTTTTTTTTCCCGTTTCCCACGAATTTCTCCGTCACGTAATTAGGAAGGAGCGTCAAATATCATAACCTAACCTTTCTTGCACTCGGTAGTAGAGACGTAAGGGAGAAAAAGACGTGGTGGTAACTTGGGAAAAGATTGAATTCTGTCATCAGCCGACTGCCACAGGCGTTCTTTTCTCTTCTTCAGAGATTGCTATCAAAATGAGTGGAAACTTCTGTCTCTAGAAACTAATTCTCACGTTTTTCTTCGAACATCTGTGGCGTCCGATACGCGTCCTTTATATTAGAGGATATTGCCAAGCAACCAAGAAAATACAATTTAACGGAATCTTTCCGGGGATATTTCAGGTTATGATGTTGGCGATTATGAAGGTACTCTTTCGGGATGTTGCACAGTGTAGTCTGGTAGAAGTTTACCGACGTTTTAGAAGTATTTGTGGTATACATAATCGTCCTGATGATGGAAGTAGCAAGAATCTGTGAAACGTCGGTAAATATCTACGAGGTTACATGACACTATAACCCAGAAGACGCCGTGAGAAGTTTCTTCTGTTGATTTTAATAACGTAAATAGCATCTCGTGGACCTGTGTTGGTCTACTGATCTCAGATTTGGAACTAATTCTCTCGGTAGTTTTGTCTAGATATTTATAAAGAAGGTATGAAGAATGTAGAATTTAACAGTGAAGATATATTGGATTGATAACCAAGTGTAAAGTCGATATAAAATGGCATGACGTATAGGAAAGATATCTCCTTTACATGTCTTAATGAAACTTTACTCAGGCGACTTATTCCGAACAAAAGAGGCATGCAAGAAGGAATTCTTTAATTTCGTAGCCGTGAATCCAGAAATGTCTCTTTTTTATCTGAACATGGAATTTTACGTAGCATTCCGTAGATAATGAAGACGATGCAGTCAGTAGCTTAGGATGCACAGAAGTTGGGTTTTGCGTGTGTTAATGCAAAGTGTTTTATTTAAGACAGATTGGGAATTATATAATATATAAACACGACGTTTCAAATAAGTTAATTAGTGGCCAGTGATGGTTTATTACATGTGTTTTAGTTAGGATGAAGAAACATCGTTACATGATACATGATTTATGGCGTTGAAGTGGACAAGCATCACGTACACAAGTTATAGTCTCAAGGATCTGCTAGGGAGATGCGAGCTTAGATATTGGGATAATATTAAAATGGATTTTAACTGACGCAGGGTATTTTGTTTTTTTGTAAATTATTCTATAGGCCCATTTTGCCACATAAAATTTTGTCATGAATGTTTCCACATACTATTGGAAGACTAATTACAAGGCAGTTAAAGAATGTATGTCTCGAATCACGAATTCCAGTTATTGAGGGAATGAACACCGACCGGATAAATTACCATTGAAATAGAGATATTTTATTCACTCTATGACGTGTTCAGGTTGAACAAAATGTAAAGATTTTTATTGTTAATTTTAGACTGTTTTATTTTAAAACTTTAAAGATAAAATTCTGTCCAAAAATGTTTTAAAACGGTTTCTTAACCTAAGTAAAAATATATTTAATAATCCACACGGTGTATTCTTGATGCAACATCTTAAAGTCAAATTCGAAATCCCCCTTTCTCCCCTTAGCCTCCTGTCTTTTCACAGTTGGCCCTCCGAAAGGTTACCTCTTGAGAATATATGTGTTAGAAAAAAAAAAGGTTAACGTCAGAAATTGCTTCAGACGAGATAAATCCATCTCGAAGTTCTATTAATAAGATCAGTTTGAAAACTGAGTTATACCATTAAGGCATACTGGGTTCCATTAAATGACATAATGAAGTACTCTATTAAGTACATTACTGCGTATAAGTTGAAAGTTTTTTTTTCTCTCATGAAAAATGACGTAATTATCTTTACCTTAACGCCATAGACTCAGTTAAAATATCCTTATATTATGTAGTTTTCTTTTCTGATTTCTAAGTGCAATATAATTGTGATTATCCTACCTAATCGGGACCGGAAGACGATCAGATAATCGAACATATCTGATAATAATGTAGACAAATGAAAAATACGATGGTAAATATAAACTCAGTTTATAACTCAATTTAAGTTATTAAATTTCGAAGAAAATTTTATACGACATCAAATGAAAAATCTCACAAAGATAATATAAATTTATGAAGGGAAGAGTTCCTCTTGTTTGCTGTAAGGTCACCCCCAGCGCGTCATCAGGAGTACGTCTGTAGCAACGGAGTACATAAACAATGTAGAATGTGCATGGCGGGGGGGGGGGGGGGGGGTGGTTGATTCATTCTGAGTCGACTGTTGATAAAATGGAACGTTCCGACACGGCAGGTCGGATAAAAACGGAATATCTTATAACCGAAGTTCGGATAATAGATAATTTTCACACTCCCTGATAGCGATATTGACGCAGCCCGCACGACATACGTGTCGGAGAGGTTGCAGCAGAATCACGGCGTTTCCCAGTAACGAAACATTTCAAGGGACGGATAACGTCACAGCTTAATATGAAAGACTGAAAGTAGACTGGTCTAGCGCAATAGGGTAACAAAATCTTCCTCAAGAACTCACATACAGTCATATTTTATTTTAGAATGAAAAAATATTCTTGAAATATCACCATGCCCGTCTGGACGTACACTCATGGTTTTTGAACCACTAGATGGATTTTTACAAAACTTGGTATGGATGTCATGTATATATTTGCGAGGTGGGAACGACAGTTATTAGTTTAAAAATAGTGTCCTGATATAATGTTTAGTGATATTTTATTCGAAGAACCTGCAACGTGTAGC